GACAGGCAGTTTGGGTGAACAAGATCCACACCCTCCATTTTCCTGATTAGGCACAAAACCCAGTCCTGACCAATCAGTGAATGGCAGGGTTCCCTGCCCCATTGTGGTTGGCTCATGGAAAGCCATGTAACTCCAGTGGGACATACGCCCCCAGGTGAAGACACCCAGTTTCATGGCAAAACCCCATCTATACTTTGATAGCTTCCAAAGGTATCTGAAGCCTCTTCCTCTTTCCTTGGGTATCCAGCTGCCTTTTCAACATTTTCCCCAGGACTTTCACTAATGGGCATCTCAAACTTCCTATGTCCAAAACAGAACGATGACTCTTGACCCTTCCCTAACAATCTGCTCCTCACAGAATCTTCTCCATCTCAGTAAACTCTCTATCAGGATGCCTCCCTCTCCCTCATGCCCTATGTCCAATCTACTGAGATCTCTGGAATCCAGCCATTTCTCACCATCACCATCAAGTCCCAGCCACTACCACCTCTCAGCTGGACCATCTCAGCATCCTTCTAACTGGTGTCATGGCCTCGGCTCCTGTACCTTGTGCTGGCTGCCTGCCTGTTTGCCCTCAGATTCATCCCTCTTTCCCCCAGTGTTATACTGCCTTCCTGGGAACTGTATTTCCCAGGCTCCTTTGTCGACTGACTTTGGGTATGTTCAGCCAATGGAAGTTACCAGCAGAAGGCTGGTGGATGGGAGGAGGGAGAAGCCAGGATTTACTTCCCTCTGAAGCTCAGCCAGGGGCTCCTTCAGGTGGCCCCCTCTGTGGTCTGGCTCCTGCAGGGCGACCCTCTCCTCTGGGCAGCAGAGCACCATTTGCTTCCTTGATCTCTCCAGTCTTAGGGTGGTAGTGACTTCCGGCTGTTGCTAATCTTTGGATTGCCGCATCATCCCCCATTTGGTCATTCAATTCTTTCCCTGTATCAAATTTCCCTTGTCTGAAATACCTAGGGTAATTTCTATCTTGCTGACTGGATGTTAACTGACATATATTCTACCGTCTACTCTCTACACAGTGGCTGAAGTGGATCCCTCTAAAAACAAAGCACATGGGCCATGACCCAGCTTTCATCCCTCCAAGAGCTTCCCATCATCAGAATAGATCAGAATAGAATCTCAGCTCCTCTGTGATGTGAGCTAGGCCCTATTATCTGCCTTTTCTGCCCATCTCTGAGCTCACCCTCCTTGCTCACAGTATTTCTAGCCACAGCAGTCTGCTTGCTGTTCTTTCTGCCCATAAAACCGGTTTCTTTGCATCTGGTGTTTCCATTGCAAGAACACCCTTCCTGCAGATCTGCCCACAGCTTGCTCCCTCACACGATTCAGGTCTCTACTCGAGAGGGACCTTCAGCGACCATCTTTTCTAAAATCGTTCTACCTTCTCATCACTCAAATCATTTTATCCTGCTTTATTTTTCTTCCCGGCACTTTTCCTACCTGCTGTGGTATTTCACATTTATGCACACATTTGCTTAGAGCCTGCTTTGCTGGAATGTAAGCTCCATGAGAGCAGGGATCTCATGAGTCTCACTTGTACCGCCTGTCCCCCTAGCACCCCTCACAGGCACATGGTCAGCATCGCTGCAGATCTAGATGGTGAAGAGAGGACATGGGCCTCCTGGTTTGACTAATTTTGTGCTGGAGTTCAGAGGACTCCAGTGTAGTTCTCCATTATTCAGATGAGAAAAGTAGGGCCCAGAGAGGGGAGAAATGTGTCCCAGATCAAACAGCTGAGTTGGACCTGGAATCCAGGTCACTTGCTTCCTAGAGCTACGTCCACACAGGTGTCCCTTCCTTTCCTTGGCTACAACTTGAACTTGGGCATTTGCTTCTAGGAGATGAAGCTGGATTTTGAAGTTTTGGTTTCTACCCAGGCAGCCCTGTAGGTCTGGGGCAGCCCTTGAGCTACCAGGCCCTGGAGAGAGCTCAGTAGGGCCAGGTGGGAGCAGCAAATGAGAAAAGTGGACTAGGGCGGGGTGGAGACTATGGCGGGTTGCAGAGTTCATGGTCCCTTCAACATCATTAATATGAATAAAAAATTAAAACACCTTGTTAGCACGTGTATGTATGTGTGTGTATTGCAAAATTTGCAAAACACAAAACAAAACAAAATAAAAAAGTCACGGGAAGGATATGCCAGAAACTAAGAAACTGGCTCCCTCCAGCAGGTGAGTAGGAATGAAGTGAGGGGATAGAAGGATTCTACTTGTATAGAGTGGACCTTTTGGAACTATATTAATGTTCCACATATTGAAAACGATACAGTAACAAGAATGTAGACAGAAATGATTGAGCCTACCTGTATTTCAAACCAATAACATAACTCATTGAAGAGAAAGAACCAATCCAAGTAACATCTGAACCTGTATTCAAACTGTTACTTTGACCATGGACCCTCAGTCTAAAGACAAAAAGATAATCTTGAGTAAGATCAGATACATCATGAGCTCTATTTAGAACGTTTGTTTTTCACAGGGTATGGGTATGGCAATTCTGCAACTCCTTTTTGTGTAGAATTGAGCAAATAGGTAGATATATTGATGTTGATAGAAACCCAGGTTCTTACTGTTTGAGAACTGAGGAAATAGGGAATTGGGGAAGAATGGAAGAACTCTGTGGTATTTGATTGGAACTGGAGAAATAGGTATAGAGAGATATGTTTGTTTTTTATTCACACATACTTATTCCTTCTCCCCCTTCTTTTTTTTTCCTTTTTTATTTTTTTAGAGACAGAGTCTCAGTTTATCATTCAGGCTGGAATGTAGTGTTGCAATCATAACTCACTCCAGGTTTGAACTCTTGGGCTCAAGAGATCCTCCTGCTTTGGCTTCTCAAAGTGCTGAGGTTATAGGCGAGAGCCACTGTGCCCAGCACATATACACATTCCTTAGTTCTCTTTGCTGAAAGGACTTAAAAGCAATTACACCTTAGTACCAAGAAGCACATCTACTGCCCAGATCTTGGATTCTAAACAACATATCCTGCTCTCAGGAACCAGGACTCCTTGGAGAAATGGCTGATTCCAAGTTTGTACAAGATGAACTTGGAACATCTTGTGATGCCAGACAGAAAGGATCTGCTCAAAAAAAAAAAAAAAAAAAAAAAAAATGACCGGGACACAGAAGGGACCTTCTGATGGCCAAATCTGGGACAACTTGAGGCTCAAAAATAAATGACAGTAATGGATTATAACTCACTGAATAAAATAAAAATCCATGAGTCTATACTGATAACAAAGACAGAAAGGATATTGTTAACTAATACTATAAAGGAAATGATGGAGTTAGATAACTACCGTTTCCAACCATCTTAGCAAAAATTGATTCAGGTAATTGATTTCGGGTAAGTTATCATCAATGGATATTAAAGCTAATGGGTGAAAGGTGATGAAACAAGGGACATTTACACCCCACAATATTTCCCCACAGGTTACTGATTAATTACAAAGGAGAGAAATGGTAGCTTCACAGTGGAGAAACATGGTGGACATCACCTTAATAGATGATCAAGGTTAATTAACATTACCAAGAATGGGCCATGCCCCTACGGATGGAATTCACTGAGGGCATATCATTTATGTCATGTTCCTGCCTATGCAATACCTAAGTCTAATCACGACAAAGCATCAGAGAAACCTAAACTCAGAAACATGCTATAAAACTGGTCTATATTCTTCAAGAGTTCAAGAACGTCAAAGTTATAAAAGGAAAAAAAAAAAGCTGAGGAGTGTTTTCAGATTAAAGGAGACTAAAGGGACACAACATGTAACTGTACCATGCAACCCTAGCCTGGACGTCGCCTGCTCCAGCACTGGCACTCCTCGTCCGTGGGTAGGATGACCTGCTGGTGATCACTGGCATTTCTGCCTGAACAGCCTCCTTTCATGATTGCAGAGCTGTGCTCCTGACATGCGCTCAACTTGTTTGTAATATTTAGATTAAGACACAAAGGAGGCTGGGTGCGGTGATCCCAGCACTTTGGGAGGCCAAGGCAGGAGGATCATCTCAGCCCTGGAGTTTGTGACCAACCTGGGCAACATGCCAAAGCTCAAAAATTAGCCAGGTATGGTGTCATGTACCTGCAGTCCCAGCTACTCTGGAGGCTGAGGTGGGAGGATCACCTGAGCCTGGGGAGGTTGAGGCTGCAGTGAGCAGTGGTCGCACCACTGCACTCCAGCCTGGGTGACAGAGTTAGACCCTGCCTGGAAAACAAAAAGACACAAAGGGATGTTTGGTGCTAAGACATGAGGAATGCTTGATTCACCTGACAATGTCTGGGATGAAGGACAGAATCACCACATGGGTCCCCAGATGACAAACAGTTCTAAGTTGATAGCGGGGGTTGCCCTCAAAGGCTCAATGAGAGGAAGCAGGCTGTTACAGTGATGGACCAGGAGGGGCAGGGGTATGTACATGATCCACATCAACCCATGTGAGTGCTCACTCCCTGGAGTGTGGCTGGAGGCTCAGGCCCAGCGCAGCTGTGGCACAGACAGGCAGAGGCTGGAGCAATAGAATACCATGTTTACTAAACCTGCTTGCGCACGCCTGCAGTTTAGCCTACCTTGGTGACCACATGGCTCCGATGTGCAGTCCAGGCCAGGATGGACGGCCTGGGTGGATGTGGGACCCAGCCCACTCTCAGCTGTGCCCCTTGAGTAGGCTGTTGCATCTGTGTCCCTATAATATGTCCCCACCACACCCATCACTTTAGGAGGCAAGACTCTGGGGCCACAGCCATGCCAAGGCTAACAGGGATTGGAGGGAAGGGGGATCGATGTCTGGGACACAGGGGAGCCTGGCAAGAGGAGCGATATGGATCCAGCAACCATCCAAGGGGAATGAAATCAGCATGTCCAAGAGATGTCTGCGCTGCCAGTTCACTGCAGCACTGTTCACAATAGCCGAGAGATGGAAGCAACCTCCATGTCCACCGATAGATGAACGGATAGGGGAAAGGTGGAGCATATACAAAACAGAGTACCATTCAGCCTTAAAAAGGGAGAAATCCTGTCCTTTATGAAAACATGGGTGAACCTGGTGGATATTATGCTAAGTGAAATAAGCCAGGCACAGAAAGACAAACATCGCATGACCTCACTTACATGTGGAGCCTAAAGAAGCTGCCTTATACAAGTAAAGAGGAGAACGCTGGGAGGAGAGGGGCTGGGCAGCTGTGGGTCAAAGAATACAAAATTTCAGTCAGACAGGAGGGGTAAATCCAGGGATCTTGTACAGCTCGGTGACTGTAGTTAACAACAATGTATTGCATTCTTGAAAAACGGAGTGATACGGGGGAAACGGAGACAGGGAAGAGTGAAGATCACCGTCCAGCCGTGCAGGACCCAGGGGGACAGAGTGGGCACTCAGAGGTGAACCTCCAGCAGGTAGCGCAGGCGACACTGGCTCTCCTGGTAGATGAGGTACTCGCTCTGGGAGAATGTGGAGCTGCTGAACTCTGGGCAGGGCAGAGGCCGGCCCTGGGGCACCACTACTCGCTGGCCATCCAGCTCCAGCTCAGTGTCCTGGGTCGGATCTGCAGGGCACATCAAGGGTCAGGGTGGCTCAGGGGTCGCTGGTCCCTGGCCTTACAAATAAGTCCTGCTGCCTGCTGTCTCCACATCTGTCAGAGGGCACGTCTGCTCATTCCACCTTGCCCACCTCCAGACCACGGGATAGGCTCGGGCTTCTGCCTGGAGTGTCCGTCCTGCCTTCTCTCTGGGAAACTCCTACTCATCCTTCAATGCTCGGTCAATGACTGAGCATTGAAGCCCTCCGGGATGCCCAGGAAAGATTTGTTGAATCAGTGGATATTTGTCAAATGACAAAGTGAGTGGCTACAGGGAAGCTTCTTTTTGTCCCTTTTCACAGCCCCCTCCCTGAAAATGTCCCAGCCCCCACCTCAGCCCCACCTCTCTCCTTGGCCTGTCCAGCTTCCAAGGACTCACCAGGCTCGGTGTGGCCTCGGGCAATGACACTGTTGAAGCCAGGAGGTGGGGTCTTCAAGCTGGGGTTGTCCCTGGTGATATGGTACTCTCTGCCCAGGGCCACCTCACCCAGGAACATGTAGCCGATGTAATGGTCCCCACAGTTCATGCCAGTAACTGGAGAACACAGGGAGGCACCGGCAGGCAGCTCAGCCTGCCTCCTGCTAGCCTGCAGGCTCCCCTCTGCTGCCATGTTATCCCTTCTGGCTTTGCTGCCCCAGCCCAGAAAAGGCTCACTCTCCTCCAGCCGTCACTCCCTCCTTATCCCGGCCTGCTCCCTGTGGCCAGGCCTCTGCACCCGCTGCTGTCCTCATGAAAGTCAGCAATGGCCTCCCAGTGACCAAACCCGGGGCAGAGGCTTTTCTCCCTGGCCTGCTCTGCTGACTTCGCTGCTGACATCATCAGCCCCTACCTGGGACCTCCTCACGCTGGTTCTCCTGAGCCTACCCTGCCACTGTTTCCTAAGCTCCTCTGCCCTCCTGGTGGACCCCTTGCTCCTGGTGACCTCAGGCATCCTAGAACCTCAGCCCCATCTGTTTTGGGATGTATCCTTGGTCCATGCTCTCTTGGCCTTACAAATGGTGGTGGCCTCCAATGATGGGGTCAGCCCAGGAGGTCATTTCAGTGAGGACACTTCTGGCCAGAAACTTGGAAGTCACTGGAGACCGTGCTGACCCTTTCCCACACGCTGGCCATCCCACCTCCCACACATCCCTCTCATGGGCTCCCTGCCCCGCACCTCCCAGCCCTGGACAAGGCACCCCTCACATCTGGCCTGGATGAGAGCATGGCCTCCCAGCAGCCTCTGGCTGCTGCTACCTTCTCCACAGCTATAGCCACTGAGATCCTGCCACAGACAAGTCCAGCTGGGCTCGCCATCACTCCCAGGTCTGGTTGGTGCACCCATCCTATCTGTATTACCTCCTCCAGGAAGCCATCCCTGACCATCAGGCACTTCCCCTGAGATCCCCGTCCTAAAGCCCAGGACAACCCACTGAGCACTGTAGTCATTAACCACTAAATGGTTCTTCTTTCGGATCTACCGTGAGTTTCCAGTGGGCAAGGACTGGGCCCCATCCACCTTAGTGCCACCCCTCCCAGGGCCTGGCCTAGAGGGAAACCTCACCATAGCCAGCTGACTTGCTGTTCTCTGAGGCAAAGTAGATGCCCTTGCCAACACGCCCACCAGAATGTGGCATGATGCGGAGCCCACTAGTGAGGATGGCGGCCACCACGGCCACGTTGGTGCCGTGCCACAGCAGCCTCCGATTACCCAGTCTGGAGTGGGCCTGGAATCTGTCTCCCTGAGTGGAAAGGATGGGAGAAATGGGAGTCATGCCACCCAAGCACTCAGGCACCTTGCCCTGCTGCTCAGAGGTGTGACCAAGCCTGAGGGCCCCTTTGCTTACTCGGGCACACTCATGGCCTGGCAGAAACTGAGCAGAGTTGCTAAACGATTTGCCAAGGGGCAGATAAGCCAAGGGCATCTTCCTAAGGCACAGGGTGATGGTGGAGGGGGTGGGGGATCTCCCTTACCTCCCCTTCTCGGTTTACTCTCCAAACGTGTTGAAGAGTAGGGCACCTGTGGTTGTTGCCAGTCTGTTTTAAGTAGGTCTGTATCACCTGTGGGGAGAGCAGAAGCTGGGTGCCAGGGTGGGAGGCTCAGGAGTTAATCCCCCTCTTCTTGTCCCCCTAGTCCCGAGCCCTCTGCAGGCCCTGGAGACACAGGAAGAGAAGGCTGAGGGCGAGTATTCCTCTGGGTACCTGGAGGGCAGGTGGGCAGAGGGACGGGGCTCACTGTTAGCCTGGCCCCTCTGTGGGGCCCAGCTCACCTTGTACTCAGGTGCCCCAGGGTCCAGCAGCTGCAGCTGGCACTTGAGAAGCCGGTAGTCTCGGTCTAGGGGGTGTGGCACCTCCTCCACCATCTTCTTCTGCTCAGAGGCTGCCTGCAGGGCCTGGGCCAGCTCGATGTCTGCCAGCACCTAGCATGATGGGCCCTGGCTGCTCGTCTTCCCACGTGACCTTTGGCTTCCCCTCTCCTCTCTCACATGCCTGGTACTGCAGCCACCCCACCAGTGTGTCCGCCTGTCCCATTACCCCATCTGTCTTCCTGGCCTTCCCCACCCATCTGTCAGCTCACCCAGGCAGTCCACCCCTCTGGGCCTTCTTGGACACCTGTCCCTCATCTCGCTGGTCGCCTAGGCCCCACTGCCTGCCCGCACCCCTGCCAGCCCTCACCAGCAGCATGTCCTTCTTGGCCTGCAGAAGCTCTGGGGTGTTGATGGGCGGGGGCCGGCTACGGCCAAAGTTGTGCGGTATGACGGTGTAAAAGTGGGAGGACAGCTCGTCCAGGCTCTGGCCACCATCCCTGGGGCCTTTCAGGGCGTCCTCCAGCGCCTCCAAGGCCTCGAAGCCACGTGCAATCTGCTGCTTGCTCAACTTTCCCAGGGGCATCTTCTTCACATCTGGGGAGATGGGGGAGCGGGGAGACTCAGCCCCGAAGCCCTGCCTCCCTGAGGCCCCTGCCACCCTGCCTGCCTCACCCCTCACCCAGGTCCATGAGGGCCATGGCATTCTTAAACATCTCCTTGCTGAAGATGTTAGTGATGAGCTTCTGCGTGGCTGGGTCCAGGGAGCAGGGCTGTACCTGCTTAGCCACAGTCCTCACTGGGCCTCCGTCCACCTGAAGATACAGAGCACGTGTGAGCAGGAGCGGCTGGGCAGGGCGCGACACCAGACAGAGACCAGCCAGCCTGAGGCCAGAGGGGAGTTCTGTGCCTGAGGCTGCACAGCTGGGCAGTGGCACAGCCCAACCAGCGGGGACTCTCCAGTCAGCGCCCTCCCTCTGCCCAGGGCCCGCCTCCCTTCCCTGGCCCTCTCACCTTCACCACAGCTTCCTGGGCCTCATCCTCTCCCTGCACTTCGATAAGTGTGTACTTGCCAGGGTGGGCCACAAATCGGTCTCGCTCTGCCCATTTGTTCTTGGTCTTTTCCTGAAATTTCTTCTCAAAGTCCTTCTTTGCATCTTCTAGTGTTGTGAAGGGGTTGAGCTTCGACTGGCCGAGCTCTCCCTGCCACCCACAGACAACCTTCAGGGGTGTGCCCACCATTGGCGTTTGCTGGCCTGTGTGCTGGGCCAGGCCCTGTGCTGAGCACCCCTGGATGGTTGGGGATGCCGCCCAGTCAGTAGCCGTGGCCTTCTGGGGGCCCTGGGCAGCATGTGCAGAGCAAGCGGGGCACTCACCACGCGGCCCCAGCGGGTCCAGCAGGCGAAGCGGCTGCCGTCCTGGAGCAGCTGGATGACGTAGAACTTGTTGTTGTTCTTCCCGATGTCAGTCTGGTTCAGGGTGCAGTCGTAGTCCTCATGCACCTGGGCCAGAAGGGAGGTGGGGGCAGGCTGGCGGGGGTCAGATGGGTGCCTGGCTGCACACTGAGAGGGCTCCAAAGGGGACAGGAGTCTGACAGCAGTGGGAGTCAGAGGGACTCTGTCTTGGAAGCTTGGGTGGTCATGGCTCTTCCCTAGGGAATGTGGTGTGACACTCGCATGGGGGTATGGGGGATTCTGGGAGGACACAGCTGGGCACTGAATGGGGAAATCCAAGAGGGACATGGCTCTGCCCTGAAGGGACACGGGTGAGCGCCACGGAGACTGAGGTGGTCAGAACCTTTCCCTAAGCATGCTGGGCGGAGGCCTGCATGGGGTCTGAAAAGCAGATGTGACCTGCCTAGACCTGATGGGACACAGACCTGATGTCTGTGGTCAGAAGAACATGGCCTTGCTCTGGCGCGCTTACCTGGGGGCCTTGGGCTCCAAAACCAGAACTGAGCTCCAAGGGGGAGGCCTGGGTGTGTTTGTGCTTATCAGTGGGCAGGCTCTGGCCTGGCTGGGGCCACTCACCCGGGTCCCAGGGTTGCTGCTGAGCGGACACGTCGGATCCACACGGATTATGCGCTTCTCTGCAGGTGCGGCCCTGAGGGCCTCAGCAGCGGAGCGGAAGAGGTCCTCCTCCCCTGCCCCCTGCCGCCCTTTCTTCTTCTCAGGGCCCTCAGTCTGTACCGAGGGCTTCCGCTTTGGAGCCATGGCTGTCCTGAGGCACAGAGGGGCCTGTGGGCCTCCATGGTCTCCTCATCCCCAATGCCCACTCTCACTCCCCACCCCCACCCTGGGCCTGTATAGCACCAACTTGTCCCACCCCAGGCTCCCTGTTTGGTGGCCTTTCACTGTGTCCTCTGTCCACTCTGACTGCATTCCCAGCCCCAGACCACACCCAGCTCTTTGTCACTCAGAAACACTCCTTTCCCCAGTCACAAGTGCAAGGTTAGGACTCTGTCCAGTCTTCCCACTCTGGTCAACAGAGTCTGCCTGGCTCCCTACCCTCTCCAGCTCACCTGTGAGTCCTGAGGGGTAGGGAAAGTGAAAGGAAGATCGCTCCAGTCCACTTAGGGGCTCCTCCCCCTGTGTCAGCTAGTTCAGCCCTGGCATGGTTGCTGGGCTGAGTCACGGAGCTATGGGGGAGGGTGGGCAGAGGATGCTGGGGGCGGGACTCTTGGGGCCAGATTTATCCCCCTGAAGCTTAGAACCCAGTGCTGTAGAGGCCCTTCCCAATGGACTGAAGAGTTCTGGGAAGTCAGAACTCCAGATCAACGGCCTTGAACTGCCAGAGGGCAAAGGCCAGTCCCACCAGGCCTTGCCCTGCCCTGCCCTGCTCTGCCCTGCGGAGGACTGTGGGCAGGACCATAGGACACTCACCTAAGAAAAGCAGGGACATGGGAGAGGTCTTGGCTGCCACCCGACCTGGTTGTGTGCGCCTCCCAGGGCAGTCTCAGGTCTAGTATCTCCCCATGAGTCTCAGGCGTGACTTAGCGAGGGAATTCCCAAGAATCACCAGACGCCGTATGTGCTTGTGTAAGGGTTAGACATCGGCTATTTGGCCACCAGTGGGGTGAAGCAGAGGCCGGGGCAGGTCGAGTCAGGAGGCCAGTCCCACGGACGGGTGGGCACTCGATCTGGCATATCCAAGGCCCGGGCAGTCGCGTCCGTAGTGGCCGGGGCCTGCGGCATGCATCTGTCGGTCGCCCGGTGACCTTGGGCCCGGGTACAGGCACTGCCTCCCTCTCCCGAGGGCTGCTTGGATCCCCGCTGGGCCTAGCGCCTGGCTGCCCCAGGAGGGGAGGAGTCACGCTCCAGAACGCGGATGGGTTCCGCGTCTCTGGCGCCCCCCAGCGGCCAAGGGGCGCAAACACCGAGAAGGCTCTTGCTATTTCGAAGTCGGCCAGCAGCAGAGCGCAAGCGCCGCAGCTTCAGGCCGGAAGCGCCCGGGAGACGCCGGCTTCCCACTCGAGCCTGGTGCGGGAGCCTATAGGAATTCCAGGAGGCGGGGCCACAAGAGTGCATCCTATGGGTGTTTGGGGGCGTGGTAGAGCCTGCAGAAGGACCCAATGGAGCATTGGAAGGCGGGGCCCGGGCTATGGCAGCCTATCAGGAAGCGGAATCTTGCCAGGCGGCTGGGGTGCGGGGAGGGTTCAGTTGCCACGTGAGTTCTCCGGTGGTTACAGGCACACACCCGGTGGGCAGCATGTCGGCAAAAGCGGCTGCTCGTAAGCGGGGAAAGCCGGCTTCGGGGGCCGGGGCTAGTGCGGCGGCCGGCAAGCGGCGGCGAAAGGTGAGCATGGTGCTTCTGCGGGCCGCGGTATGCCCTGGTGCTGGAACAACTGTCATCCCATCAAAGGGACCCGGGTCCAGGCCCTTCCCCAGCCCTTCGCCCGGGACACCAACTGGAATCAGCTTCGTTCCTCTCTCCGCTAGCCAAATCCTAGAAAACTGTGCGCTTAACCCGGGAGCCTTTACCATCCTGGGGCTCATGAGGGACCCGAGGAGGCCCCTTAGTCAATGCCAGGGTGGTCGGGACTCTTGACCAAAGAAAGGACCGTATAATTCCCAGGCCGTCTCTGCGGGGGACAGGGGTAAATCCAAAGGTGGCACCAAGATGAATGAGGAGATCTCCAGCGACTCTGAGAGCGAAAGGTGAGCTGTTCTTTTCCACCTAGTGGGAGGGAAAACTGAGGCCCATGGTGAATGGAAGACTCGGTGAGTCCGGGCAGAGCTAAGCCTAGAACCCAAGATTCTGGCCGTGGCTCTGACATCGTGGCTCATTCCTTTAGTTTCTGGTCCTGCAAAGTCTCTTTTCTGCGAGGTCTGTGGATGGGAAGGACCCTAGGCCCCAATCCGAGGCTACTGCGACCTCCTTGGGTTTTGGCAGGGAGCTAAACATGGGACTGGACTGATTGTGAAATTGCAGGAAAACAGAACAAAGCTGTCAAATATTTCTTGCATCCCTCTCCCCTTGCCAGTTTTCCTGCAATTTCACAATTACTGGAGTCCCTGTCTCTTAACATGCCAGGCACCGTCTTCACTGTTGAAAGTGCAGAGTTAGGCAGGAGGTGAAGAGAGTGTGTTGTAGTGAGATGTGTATCTTATAGTTGTGTGTCTGGGAACAGGGGAGGGACATTTAAATAGGGTCTTGAGAGATGAGGAGGAGTCTCTCATGGAGAGGTAGGGAAGGCATTCAGGAATCAGAAAAAAGTTTGAGGTGTGAGTGTGCCAGAATGGATGATAGAAAAGATGGAAGGGGCTGGGCCTGGTAACTCACACCTGTAATACCAGCGCTTTGAGAAGCCAAGGTGGGAGGATTGCTTGAGGTCAGGAGTTTGAGACCAGCCTGGACAACATAGCGAGATCTTGTCTGTACAAAAAATAAAAAAGTTAGCTGGCTATGGTGGCATGCACCTGTAGTCCCACCTACTCGGGAGGCTAAGGTAGGGGGATCCCTTCCCAGGAAGCTGATGCTGCAGTGAGCTATGATCATGCACTGACCTCCAGTCTGGGTGACAGAGCAAGACCCTGTCTCTACAAAAACACAATAATGGGGGGTGGTCATAGGTGCATGCAGATTCTAAAGGGCTTTGAATGCCCCCCTCATTTCTGCAGATGATGGGTGTGGTTGCTTTCATGATTTCAAAGAGTCAGGCAAGGTGTCAGGCCTGACCCTGTGGGTTAGAGCTCTTGGATCAGGGAATCCTAGTGTCTTCCTTATGAGTTGACTTGAGAATCTCACTTCTAGAATTGAGTATGTGTTGCCTTAATTTGCCTGCAGAAAGACTTATGTACTTTTTTTGTTTTTGAGACAGAGTCTCACTCTGTTGCCCAGGCTGGAGTGCAGTGATGCGATCTTGGCTTGCTGCAACCTCTGCTTCCCTGGTTCAAGTGGTTTTCCTGCCTCAGCCACCTGAGTAGTTGGGATTATAGTCCTGTACCACCACGCCTGGCTAATTATGTATGTGTAGTAGAGATGGAGTTTTACCATGGTGGCCAGGCTACTCTCGAACTCCTGAACCTCAAATGATCCACCCACCTCAGCCTCCCAGAGTGCTGGGATTATCAGCATAAGCTACCATGCCCAGCCATTAATGTACTTTTCTTAATCAGAAGGTTATTGTGGATAAGTGTGTGCCAGGAAGGTTATTGTGGATGAGTGTGTGCCAGGCTAGTGTAGGCTAAGCAGTTTTAAATATTTTTTCAATGTGTTGTGAAGCTTGTTAGATACAGAAGAGTGAATGATATGCATTTGTAATGTAGAGAGTAGTGGTAAAATGGTAAACCTCTGCACTTACCACTTAGGTTAAGAACTAGAGCATTTGCAGCAACTTAGAAGCCCCAACTGTTATTCCTAACTTGAGTTAATAATTTCTTTGGTTTCTTTCTTCTTCTTTTAAAAAATTAATATTTTCCATTTAGGTATGATTTACATATAGTAACATTCACTTTTTAAAGTTATGGTTTGGTGAATTTTGACAAATATACACAGTCATGTAACTACCACTACCTTGAAGATATACAAGGGTTTCATCACCCTCCAAAACTCTTCCTGCTTCTTCATAGTCAGCTCCTCTCCCTCCCCACGTCTGTGGTAGCTACCACCCCTAGAGTTGTGTGTTTTCTAGCATGCCATGTAAATGGAATCATAGTGTGTACTTCCCTTGCATTTCTTTACTGTTCTGCCTCATGCATATGAATCCTTCAACAATAGATCGATTAGTTTGGCTAAATTGAGTAGAAGTCCGAACTTAACACAGGTCCCTTGGCTGTGTAAGGGAAGGGCAGCACCAGCCCTGTTTTTGGCTAGAGGCCTGCCAGGCATAGGGCACTAAATGATTGCTGGGGCATGGTCCGGCTTTGGCTTTCCTGAGAGTTTTCAAGGCCCCTTCTGGGGAAGTCAGGGGCAGGGCTATGAGTGAGTCCTGGAAACACGGTTAGGGCAATGGACAGAGACTGCGGGCACATGATCAGAGGGAATGGGCTGCCCTGGATTTTCTGTGTTTGAGTGCCCATGACCTACTCCCAGCTCCCAGAAGCAGGTCAAAGCAGGACCTGTCTTTGAGTGAAGTGAGTACTCTCTGCTGGTCTGGGGACTGGGGGCATGGAGGGGAAAGCAGTGACTTTATCAGTAAAGGTCAATCCTCAAGCAGTGAAGGTTCATTTTGAACCTTGTCCCCAGGGTAAAGGATGGTGCAGTGGTGATGACAGTCCCGGTGTGTCTGCCTGGTGGGTCCTTGGATCTGATCCAGACCGTCCCCGTCATGTCTGGGGATGGTGTCCTCTTCTCTGTTCTCTCTGTAGCATCTCTGGTTTCTGGCATCCCTTGCCTTCCCTTTCCTAGTTTACTCTCTTGTTTGGGGAGTACATCCTCTATCCTTCTTAAGAAAAAGAGGGAGAAACAATTCTGTGGCACCTTGCACAGCTGGCAGTGTTGTTGATCGTTTGGGCATGGCATTTTAGGGGTCTGCATATTCCTCCAGAGCTGTGTGTGTGAGGCTCCTCTGTCTCGTTCTCAATATTGCTGTTGAGATGCTGGAGCATTTTGGTTCCTGACTCTTTGTATGTGACCTGATTTCTTTTGAAAGCCTGGTTTCTCTCGGAAGCCTCCTCTTTCCCCCAGAGTTGAGAGGCTTTAGGGATCTCTTTGGGATTTGGGTCTGTTTCCACCCTTATGTGGGCCACTGAGTGGGGCCTTTTAGCTTGGAGAGTCACATCCTTCAGCTTTCTGCAGTGTAGTTACCAGCCATATGGGCTGGCGGGGATGGGGAAGGTTGGATAGGAAGGTGAGCATTCAGAAGGCAGGGTCCTAGTGGTCAGAGGAACAAGCTGAGCCCCTCAGACCCAACCCCTCTCTGCCCACAGCCTACCTCCAAGGAGGCCTGAGGAGGAGGAGGAGGAAGAGCTGGAGGAAACTGCACAGGAGAAGAAGCTGCGCTTGGCCAAGCTCTACCTAGAGCAGCTCCGACAGCAAGGTGAGCCAGTGGGCAGCCATGGGCAGGGCTTGTGCCTGTGTTGGTCTGCTGTGTGCCGCTGCAGCCCCAGCCACCTGATGGGTGACTGACATGGGTGCCCAGTGAGTGCCCGGGCTGTCAGTACTGGCTGCCCTGTGGGGGTGGCCAGGAGCTCTCATGGGCCTTCCAGGGAAGCCAGTACTGACAATAAGTACTGATCCAATAAGTAAAGGCATGAAGAAACCCTCCAGCCTGCCCTCCCCTCTGCTGAGGCAGCTGGAACTTCCTGCGTTACCCAGCCCTGGAACAGTGGGATGGGGACAGGATGGGAGAAGAGGGGTCTGAGCCTCGGTTTACTTGGTCTGGTCTGTCCTGCACAGAGGAGGAGAAGGCTGAGGCCCGGGCATTTGAGGAGGACCAGGTGGCGGGGCGCCTGAAGGAGGATGTGGTAGGTGTGGAGGGAGAGTTGGCGGAGGCAGGGGTGGAGCTGATCTGCTCCCAGGGTCCCATCTGACTCTTCTCCATGCAGCTCGAGCAGAGGGGCAGGCTGCAGAAGTCGGTGGCAAAGGAGGTGAGTGGGCCTGGTAAGGTTGGAGGGAATTGGGGTCCCACCTGGGTTGGTGGGCAGGTGAGTCAGTGGGGGCTCAGGGTGTGGGGGTCTTTGCTCTGGAACATGGTGGACACTTGGGACTATAGGGTCAGGTAAGGAGCTGGTCCCTGTAGCCTTGGGTCTTGTTTTCCTTCTGGCTGGGATGGGTGGGAAGGGCCAACACTGCTGGGTGGGGTTGATGGGGGTGGTGCCTTTATGCCACCAGCCACAGTGACCCAGCCCCTGTCCGCCCAGATCCAGGCCCCAGC